GGGTTGGATCAGGCAGTAACAGCCCGGTCCTGCCTCGCTGGGAGGTTTTAATTGCAGATTGTGGTGTTGACCCAAACACAAGGGACAGGGACACCTCGCAGGTTGTTCCAGTCCAGGTTTGCTCTGCTGGCTCCGAGCTGCGTTCCTGTCATTGCAGAGGCTCCTTCATCCAGCAGCCACCAGAGAAACTTGAAAATTCGTGTTAAMTTCACCATTAACCTTTGCAAAATCACCAAAACTAATGAATGTTGTATTTATTGTGCCAGGACCAGGCAGTGAGGGATGAAATTGGATTTTGCAGAGGCCCAGGTGCCATTTGGTGAATACACAGCATGTGCCAGCCGTGCTGGCTGGGGCTGAGCATCCTTCCCGTGCTCCTGGCCAGGGCTGGGATCTGGCTCTGCTTTCCCTGCAGCAGCTGCTCACTGCTCGGGCTGTCAGCCACAGCACTGCCTTTCCTCCCGGAGAGAAACCCCCAAATGTGGAGAGAAACCCCCAAATGTGGAGAGAAACCCCCAAATGTGGAGACAAACGCTGTGCAGGAGCAGGAGAGGAGCAGGACTGGGACTCTGGGTTCAGTAGCCCCAAGCCAGGGTTAATTAGCCAATTCTGCAGCCTGACAGCAGCCCTGGCACAGCTCTCAGGCTGCTCCCGGCTGGGGCTGAGCTCTCCCKCTCAGTTATTTCCTAATTCCGGGGYTGGGGAGCGCAGTTTGTGTGATCCCGGGACTGATTCAGCCTTTTCTGCTCTGTTTGCAGGAAGCTGCACACGGGTGAGCTCTGCTGGTTCCTSCTGTGGTGAGAGACACCCGGGTACCCCCATCACCCTGGACCATTGCCCCTCATCTCCCGCGGGATGCAGAGAGCAGCCCCGGGGGAAGATGGAGCCGTTTTTCAGGGATTTTGGACAGGATGGAAGCTCAGCCCCACAATGGATCCAGAGATGCCCGGGGATTGTTTGTCAGGGATTTTGGACAGGCTGGAAGTTCAGCCCCGCAGTGGAGCCCGAGGATTGTTTTTCAGGGATTTTGGACAGGCTGGAAGCTCAGCCCCGGCAATGGAGCCCGAGTTGCCCGGGGATTGTTTATGAGGGATTTTGGACAGGCTGGAAGTACAGCCCCTCAATGGAGCCAGAGATGCTCGGGAATTGTTTGTCAGGGATTTTGGACGGGCTGGAAGTTCAGCCCCTCAGTGGAGCCCGTGGATTATTTATGAGGGATTTTGGACAGGCTGGAAGTGCAGCCCCACAATGGATCCAGAGATGTCCGGGGATTGTTTGTCAGGGATTTTGGACAGGATGGAAGCTCAGTCCCACAATGGATCCCGAGGTGCCCGGGGATTTTTTGTCAGGATTTTGGACAGTTCAGCCCCGCAATGGAGCCCGAGGTGCCCGGGGATTGTTTGTCAGGATTTTGGACAGTTCAGCCCCGCAGTGGATCCCGAGGTGCCCGGGGATTGTTTCTCAGGGATTTTGGACAGTTCAGCCCCGCAGTGGAGCCGGAGATATCCGGGGATTGTTTGTCAGGGATTTTGGACAGTTCAGCCCCACAATGGATCCCGAGGTGCCCGGGGATTGTTTTTCAGGGATTTTGGACAGTTCAGCCCCTTAGTGGAGCCCGAGGTGCCCGGGGATTGTTTTTCGGGGATTTTGGACAGTTCAGCCCCGCAATGGATCCCGAGGTGCCCGGGGATTGTTTCTCAGGGATTTTGGACAGTTCAGCCCCGCAGTGGAGCCCGAGGTGCCCGGGGATTGTTT